CTGAAGAGACCTTCTGTTAACTCCTTTTGCTCTGAAGCTTCAACTAACATTTAGAATCTGTTTGTTTGTTTTAGGGTCAAGCTCTGTTCTGGATCTCGGTAGGTAAAACTGAATAAAATATGCTTCCTCCCTGGTAGGATTCATAATTTTCATAAATTACATTATGGCAAAATGTGCATGAGGGTGGGGTATATCTCAGTGGTGGACAGAACATTTGCATATCATGCACAAGGCTCTTGGTTAATTCTCTAAAACCAGAAAAGTAAAATGAAACAATATCCTGTAATTAGTGAACAATATGGTGACAGAAGTCATGGACTACTTCAGAAAGGGGAAGCTGAGGGGATTCTGAGTGAGGAGGTAAGAACACGGTCTGGGCTGGGAGGTGGCGCATGCATTTAATCCCAGCACTCGGGAGGCAGAGCCAGGAGGATCTATGTGAGTTCAAGGCCAGTCTAGTCTGCAGAGCGAGCTCCAGGACAGGCACCAAAACTACACAGAGAAACCCTGTCTCAAAAAACCAAAAAGTGATATCATTATGGGCTGGAGAAATGGCTCAGAGGTTAGGAGCACTCGCTGCTCTTCCAGAGGACCCGGGTTCAATTGCCAGCACCCATATGGCAGCTCACAACTGTCTGTAACTCCAGTTCCAGGGCATCTGACACCCTTACATCAATGCACGTTAAATAAAAAACAATAAAATTTAAAAAAAAAAGAAATTAAGATGTTTAAAATATAGGCTGGGCCTGGTGAGACGGTTCGGCAGGGTTCGGCAGGCAAAATTGCTTACCATGTAAGCCCACGACCTGAACTAGATCCCAAAACCCATGGAAGGTGGAAGAAAAGAACTGACTTCCCAAAGCTCTCAGACTTCCACATACAGCAGGCATGCTCACACCCACACAACAATTAACACACACATTATCATTCATTCTCTCTCTCTAATAAATTAAATAAGATCTTTAAGATCTTATTTTAAATTTAAGATCTTATTTAAAAATATAGGCAGCTGGGAGATTGTGGCAGTAGTGAGACTCTTTCCAAAAAATAAATAAACAAAACAAATTTTTAAAATGCCCAAAGAGTGAGGAGTAAAGTGTAGGAACTGACTACTTCAGGAGGGGGTTGGAGAAGCCACTGGAGATGAACCTTCTGTGTAGCATGAACTGTGGCAGCAACAGAGAAGGTTTGGCCAGGGAGAGGAAAAGGGCTTCATGTGAAGACACATAGCATCTTTATAGGGTAAGTTAAAGGCTTCAAAGACTGTAGGGGAATTTGAGTGGAAACAGGAAACTGGGGAATTATGGCATAGGCCAGGCAAAAGATGATGGTGGCCTACAATACAGAGCACAGAAAGGGGGTCTGAACTTGTAGAGGACTCAAGATTAAACCCTGAGAGAAACCCAACTAGGGAGAGAAGAAAAGTGTCTAGTAAAGGAGACTGAGGCATCCAGGAAGCTGAAATAAGAGGATCAAAGAGTTCGAGGCCATTTAGACTATACAGCAAGACCCTGACTCAAAATCAAAAAACAAACAAACAAAAAACATACAAAGCAAACAAGCAAGCAAACAAACAAACACAAAAAAGAAAGACAAACCCCTGCAAACCACATCAGGTGCAGTGGTGGATACCTACAGACCCAGCTAGGAGCAGCTAGCTCAACAGAGAAAGTCCAAGAGCAAAGTATTAGCAACAGCAATGGCGACAAAGCTTCAAAGAGTAAACTGAGCCGGGCGGTGGTGGCGCACGCCTTTAATCCCAGCACTCGGGAGGCAGAGGCAGGCAGATCTTTGTGAGTTCAAGGCCAGCCTGGTCTACAGATCGAGATCCAAGAACGGCGCAAAGCTACACAGAGAAACCCTGTCTCGAGGAAAAAACAAACAAACAAAAAACCAAAAACAAAGAGTAAACTGTATTGACTCTTCCAGAGATTACAGAAATGAAAAGTATCCATTGAATTTGGCAACATTGTAGCCATTGGTGAAGCTAACAATTTTGAAGAGCAATTAGAAGAGAAGCCAGAATGATATTGACTAAAGCTTCAGTGAAAGATAAAGTTGAACTGGTATAGGCAGAAAACTATGAAATGAGAATTTTAAAAAAGTTAGCTGGGGCCGGGCGGTGGTGGCGCACGCCTTTAATCCCAGCACTCGGGAGGCAGAGCCAGGCGGATCTCTGTGAGTTCAAGGCCAGCCTGGGCTACCAAGTGAGTTCCAGGAAAGGCGCAAAGCTACACAGAGAAACCCTGTCTCGAAAAACCAAAAAAAAAAAAAAAAAAGTTAGCTGGACTGTGGTAGCGCGTGCCCTTGATCCCAGCACAGGGGGGGTGGGGGAGGGGAGACGCAGCCAGGCGGATCTCTGTGAGTTTGAAGCCAGCCTGGTCTACAGAGCGAGTTCCAGGACAGCCAGAGTAACAGAGAAACTCCTACCCCTCAAAATAAATAAATTAGAAAATGATGAAGCTGTGCCCAGTAGCACATGCTTGTACTCCTAGCACTAAGTCAGTCTGGGGTACATGTCAAAAAAGATGATAGCTTGAGGGGCCTTTGAGAGACATGGGAACATAATCTGCAAGCGGATGGAAAGAGTTTTTTTTTGAAACATAGGATTTGGTGAATGACATTGAAAAATAATGATGAGGAAGTCAGTGATCATACTTAAACCAGATGGTGATGACATATGTTAGGAACAAGAATATTGCCAGATGGTGTGTGTCTCAAGCCTTTTATCTCAGCACTCGGGAAGCAGAGGCAGGCAGTTCCTCCGTGAGTTCGAGGCCAGCCTGGTCTACAAAGAGAGTTCCAAGACATCCAAGGTTACAGAGAAACCTTGTCTCAAAAAACAAACCCCGCCCCACACACAGCCAGAGCAAATTTATTTGCTTCCAAGGATGTTTCCACCAGACTACAGTTTGTTTTCCTATGAAGAAGCCCCCCCAGGGGGTGGTAATATAAAATGTGACTGAATTTGAGCACTGTACCACTTTCTGATGTGATTAATCCCTTGGTAAAGATTAAGCTCTTTTGGAGAGTATTAATACTTTGCCAATCTAATCTAATAGCCACACAAGCCAATCAAATAAAATAAGCTTATAGTGGTGAGATACTAGGCATGAAAAGGGTCTCTAAATTCATGGCTGAGGGGAAAGCTGTTTTTCTTTGAGACAGGGTCTACGAATGTAGCCAAAACTCAAATTCCATGATCCTCCTGGCTAAGCTTCTCGGTTGTTGCTAAAACACTGAAGACTTACAAACTGTCAACTCCAGTGTTCAACAGTGGAACTAAGCTTTAAAAAAAAACAACATGCCGGGCGGCGCACGCCTTTAATCCCAGCACTGGGGAGGCAGAGTCAAGCGGATCTCTATGAGTTCGAGGCCAGCCTGGGCTACAGAGTGAGTTCCAGGAAAGACGCAAAGCTACACAGAGAAACCCTGTCTCGAAAAAAAAAAAAGAAAGAAAGAAAAACCAAAACAACAACAAAAACAAACAAACAAACAAAAAACTAATTCAACACCTTCCACACAATGTATAATATTCCCTTGCTGGGGAGGGGTCTAGGCCCCTCCCCTCCCTAAAAATTTATAGGCAGTTAACGGTTGCTAGGGGGGAGGGGCTCACGAGATCCCACCAGTCCTAAGGATCTATAGCAATTCATGGTTGGGGGGGGGGGGGAGCAATTTCTTTACGGTAGTAGTCCAGGTTTCTCTGGATAATTCCTCACTGACATTCCTGTAAGTAACCTTAAATCTACTAGTTGAGCTACACACATACACAGAAAAATAAATGAAAGTAACAGGGGATTGTGAAGGGGATCAGCAGGAATGGGGTGTGTGTGGGAAAATGAAAAAAAAAATTACCCTACTACTTTTGATAGTACAGTGACTTCCCGTCTAGATGTTTTAGGAGTCCTGCCTCCTAAAGGAAGATAGGCATCAATTCTTTCCGTAACACAGGGAAACTGCTTTACTTAGACACTTAAATTGAGTACCTGATGTCAAACAAAAATATAAATTTCTGATTTAACAACCCATTCTGATATTTACGGTAGGTCGCAAGTGTTTGAGGAAATGAATTACGCAGGATGGAGGGCTTCAGGTACTTCTATACACACTCCCATCTTTAGAAAGGGTTAAGGGACTCAGCCACCAGGGGGGAAACAAGTTCAATTATTCAACAATATGAGAAGAGGTAACATTCAGCACACTACACCAGCCTCATGGCTGAACCATCGAAAAAGTCCGGTAGGGTCCAAACGCCCGGAATAATTAATCCGATCACTTGACACCAAGTAAGAAACATTTAGGTCTCTTCTAGTCCCAATTTTTCGCGTGGCCCAGATTCCAGAAGCTACGGGGAAGATGGGATCCCAGAAAGCCTGTTGATTCAACAGGCAACCCCAGTTCACAGGTTCCGGGTGATACTGCGTGGGGAAAGGCCCGAAGAGTCTGAGCAACCACGGCGCTTTTCTGTCCCTTTCCCCGGTAGATCCGGAAAGGCCAGGGCCTCCCGGGGTTCTTCCCGCAGTGGGCACCCCAATGCCTCTTCCCACTACGGGACCAGGCCCCGGGAGTCCGGCTCGCCACCTGCGCACGCCAGAAACACACCCCAGGCTGAGCTTTACCTGCTTGAAGGTCGCTGTTTCTCCGCTGCGCTAAGCTCCCACGGAAGAAAATGGAGTCGCCGAACCGAGTCTGGAAAAGGATAGTCCGGACCCACCGCAAGGGCCCCCGCAGCCGCCGCCGCCGCCGCCGCCGCCGCCGCCGCTACCACCGTCGCCGCTGCTGCGTAAACGTGCTACGTCACCTCCGGCTCTCTGTCATTGGGAGTGGGCGGGTCACTTCTTGTTCTCTTTTCCCCTCCGGTGTCTAGCGCTTTCTCCTCGAGTGTGCGAACGCTGACTGAAGGTAATAAGGAACGAAGCCGCCACGGAGCAACCAGGACGAAGCGGGGTCCCGAAGGCCACCCGGGCCAGCGTGTTCCTTAAGCCGCTCTAGCCAAAGGAACCATAAAGATTCAGGCTAAGGTGTCTTCACTTCCTCCTCTTCGTCGTTCCGCCCTTAGCTTCCGGTTCCGGGGAAGGGCCAAATTTTCTTGGATGATTAGGGACTCTCCAGTCTAGGATGGCTGTCTTGTCGCTCCTGTTGTTGGGCGGTTTGTGGAGCGCTGTGGGAGCGTCCGACATGGCTGTCGTTACGTGCGGCTCCGTGGTGAAGCTACTCAATACGCGCCATAACGTCCGACTGCACTCTCACGACGTGCGCTATGGGTCAGGTACGGAGGGAGACCAACCCGGGTTGGGTGGGCTGCCTAGGCCGGTGAGCCCCGAAGGGGGCGGGGCCTCCAATGCTGAGGGCGTGGTCTTGGAAAGTTAAAGGTGCCCTGGGGAGATTCATGAAGAGGACGATCGAGTTGCTAAGGAAATTAATTAAATCGTAATGTTAGTTTCTGTTTGATGAGTGTGTGCTAAACGTGTTACATACTTTTCAATTTTTAACATTGTATTGAGATAGTAAAGTTATTTTCATAGGTGAAGAAATAGACTCAGCTATTGCTCAAAGCCTTACAGCTAGTGAATGATGGAGACAGGGTTTAATCCAACTCTGTCCAGGTTTAAAAATCTTTCAGATTCCATGGGCTGCCACTATTTTGTGCTGGAGAGAGAGACATATAGAGCATGACAACATATGCTGAATCTCTGAGGTTTTAGACTTCAAGAGCTCACTCTTTGATTACAACCCTTTGTCTTATACTTGTTTCTTAGCTCATACCTTTTAGCACTCTTTCATTTAGCAATAACTTCCTTAAATAACTTAAGCGTTGACAGACATTGCAAAGGAAAGTCTGCTTTTTATCATATGCAATGAATGCTAAGTATTTTGGGGCTCATTCGTTCGGCATAGCTTTAAAGAGCTCTTTTTTTTTTTTTTGGTTCTAGTATTGTTCTAGACAGGAGATACTGTAGTGATCAAACAATTAAACAAGACAAATGGCAGGTGTGGTGGCTGCTATCTGTAATCCTAGCACTGGAAAGGCTGAAGTGGCAGGGTTGTGACTTAAAGATCAGCCTGGACTACACAGTGAGAGCTATCTCAAAACATCACACAAGAAATTCAAAGGCAGGGGCTGGAGAGATGGCTCAGAGGTTAAGAGCACTGGCTGCTCTTCAGAGGGCCTGAGTTCAAGTCCCAGCAACCACATGGTGGCTCACAGTCATCTGTAATGAGATCTGGTGCCCTCTTCTGGCCTGCAGGCGTATATACAGGTATACGTAAATATAAATCTTTTTTAATTCAGAGGCTGGCTAATTAGTTTAGTGTTAGAGTATTTGCCAAGCATTTGATAGGCCCTAGGTTCTGTCCTCATACTGAGGGGGAATAAAAGTAATGAGATTCAACATGAGATGTATTCAAGATAATTTGAATGACCGAGGATGCTGTTTGCTTAGTTAGTCTGTGGTTCCCAACTCTAAGAACCTGTCTGACCAGTTTAGTCCAGGGAATGTATAGTCATCATTGGGATATCTTTATATTCCTAACCACCTATTCAGGAAACACCTACCTGTATGTCAGGCGTATTACATTTTAATTTAATCTGTTTCCTGTTTTGGATCTACTAAATTAAAATAGAGTTAGAAAGAGGCCCAGTAGACTTCAAATCTTTACCAGTGGTTCTTATGGGTAGCCAGATTTTGAAACCATGTTTACTCGGAACCTTAGGAGAGGAATCTATGATACAGTGTTAGATACAATATTCTTTTAAAAGCTTCGTTTTTTTTTTTTTTTTTTGAGACAGAGTCTATCTATCCCTGGCTGTCCTGCTGCTAGGAACTCACTCTGTAGACCAGACTGGCCTACAGAAGCAGTGGATATCTACAAGTTCTAGGCCAGCCTAGTCCATGTAGGGAGTTTTAGGCCTGCCAAGGCTACATTCTGTGGTCAGAGTCTATCTCACAAATAAAAATAAATTTTTAAAAAATGAAAGAGAGCCCGGCGGTGGTGGCGCAGGCCTTTAATCCCAGCACTTGGGAGGCAGAGCCAGGCGGATCTCAGTGAGTTTGAGACCAGCCTGGTCTACAGAGTGACTTTGGTACATTGGGTACATTGCTCAAAATTCCTAACAATTCAATGTAAAGTTGGGACGGTAACAGTACCTGTCTCAGAGTAAAATGCATCAGTTATGTAAGAATGAATATTCAGTCAAGTAGGGTAGGCGGCTTTTAGTCCTACCATTCAAGAGGCAGAGAGAGGTGGATCTCTGAGGACAGCCTGGTCTACCTACAGATTTTCAGGCCAGCCAGGGTTACATAGTGAGACCCTGTCTCAAACAAATAAACAAACAAAAATCCAAATTAGGGGCCAGGTGGTGGTGCATGCCTTTAATCCTAGCACATGGGAGACAGGCAGATCTCTGTGAGTTTGAGGCTAACCTTGTGTACAGAGTGAGTGAGTTCCAGGACAGCTCTCGAAAAACCAAAAAAAAAAAGAAAAATGTACTATTCCTTACCGGACTAATCCAAGTTCTTTGCTTGAATAATTTGGAGTTTTTGTTTTTGTTGCTGTTTTTTGTTTTTGTTTTTTTTGAGACAAGGTTTCTCTGTGTAGCTTTGCGCCTTTCCTGGAACTCGCTTTGGAGACCAGGCTGGCCTCGAACTCACAGAGATCCGCCTGGCTCTGCCTCCCGAGTGCTGGGATTAAAGGCGTGCACCACATTTTTCTTTAAAACCTACGGCTACATGACCTTTAATCCCAGCACTGGGAAGGTAGAGGCAGGCGAATCTCTGTGTTCGAGGCCAGCCTCCTCTACAGAGTGAGTTCTAGGACAGCCAAAACTACTTAGATAGAGCGTATTTCAAGAAACAAAAACCAAACAACTACAGCTACATATTTCACTCAGTATTTTTAACGTGCAGAATTGTACTAGCTAAGGTATGACCGTACAAATTTATATGATCTAAGAGTATTTTAGTTTCAGCATTTGAGACAAGGTCTATATAGTTCTGACTGGCATAGAACTGCCAGAGGACGATTTGGGGCATTCAGGGTGGGGGTTTGGGGGAGCTGGTTCTTTCCTTCTACTGTGGATCCTCAGGATTACACTCGAGCCATCAGGTATGACGTCAAGTACTTTTAACCACTGAGCCAAGTCATTGGCCCCTTTTATATATTATTTTAAATAAGATTTCTATTATTTTCTATTTGTGTGTGTGCAGGGTGTGGTGATGCACACCTTTACTCCCAGCACTCAAAAGGTAGAAGCAGGCAGATCTCTGAGTTCAAGGCCAGCCTGGTCTACATAGGGAGCTCCAATACAGCGGGGACTACATAGAGAGACCCTGTCTTAAAAAAAAAAAAAGACTAATTATGTGCATGTTCAAGTGCTCATGAATACAGGTGCCTATAGAGGCTAAAAGTGTTGGGTCCCCTAGAACTGGAGTTAACAGGTAGTTATGAGTCTGCACTATGTAGGTGCTGGGAACTGAACTGGCCTTCTGTAAGAGCAGTATTGTCTCTTGCACCCTTTGACACTTTTTACCTGCGTTCTGGAAATTGATGTTTGGTTGTCAGGTTTGCGTGGCTAGTGCTCTTACCCACTGAGCCATCTCCCTGGCTCACACATTGTTTTTTGGGGGGCATGATCTCCCACTGGGAGCTAGGGCTTACCAATTTGTCTAGGCTGACAGGTCAGTGAGCTCAAGGCTGGCTGGCTCCACCTTTCCAATGCTGAGATTACAAGTGCAGGCCACGATGCCCAGCTTTTTTAAGGTGGGTTCTGAAGATAGAACTTGGGTAATCAGGCTTGGTAGCATGTGTCTTTACCTGATGAACCATCTTGCTAACCCACTTCCATGGAATTTTCTGCTGTAACGTGTGAAAACGAATTCTTTTCATGTTTATTTTGTATGGGGAAGAATGAATGTGTATCCTTGAATGCATCTGGTAGCCAGAGAACAACCTGCAGAAATCAGTTCTCTTTTTATTATGTGGGTTCTGGGGATGACCTTAGCCTGTCGGGCTTAGGCAGCCGGTGCCTTTACCCAATGAGCATCTCATTGGTCTTTTCACACATTTTTAAGTGTGTCTCATCTACAGTATATGGGAACATTTAGCATGTTTTAAATTTTAACATTGTGAAAGTAAAATATTACCAACATAGTGTTTCTTCCCCACCATACAACTTTTGTGACACAGGGCACATCTTTGGCCCTGGAAAGTGAAGGGTTAAGTTGAAACTCCTGTGCCTTTTTCTTCTTTTGTCAATTTTGTAGGGCTATGTATTTATTGTTAGCTATAATTAGTGCAGAAAGGGGACAGAAAGCTCACAGGCTACTCAGTTTCACAAGATACACTTCGGGGCAAAGAAAGTCTGGTTTTTGCCAATAATATCCTAGGGTCTTGGTGGACACCTTCCTGAGTAAGAGGGTCTCATTCCTAAAGAGGACAAGCCTATCATAGGTGCCCCTCAATGAGGGGAAGGCCAACTGGTGGGCCTGTGGGTGATGGTCCCCATCTTGGTAGGACCTTGGTGGGAGCTCAAGCAGTCCTGACAATCACAGCAGCAGCTGCTGCTGTCCCTCTTCTCTGTGGTGTCATCACCTACTGGGACAGGTCCTTCTGGGGACTGGGCACTCTAGCTGGTATTCCTCTGCTAACTGTTCTCCCAACCCCAGGACCTCTGATAGGAGGAGCATGTGGCATCCAAGCAGTGTCAATATCTTTAGAGAGTAGCATTTTTCATAATCATGGATACCAAGTTCTCCGCACACAACAGCACCAGACCTAAAACCTGTTTTTCTTCATGCTCTGGCCATTTAGCATCTTGTCTCTTGATTTTGCTGAACTCATCACAGTCTCGGGATCAAATTCTTATGCTTGTCCAAGACCTTAAAGGTGCAATGAAGATTGAACAAATGACCATCTCACAGGACATGTCTCATTCTGTAGTCAACATGTGCAGCCTGGTGTTCTACTCAGAGTCATGACTGGTGTTCCACGACAGCCAGTGTTTTAAGGGTGACATTTCAAATCCTTAATATCTAGGGAGGATATAAATGAAGGTGTGATGTAGGTTTTCTTAAAAACAATGCAAGCTTGGGAGAAGCTTTACCAGTAGTGGATGGGTCCTTGATTGCTCCATCACACTGAAAATGACTCTTCAGAACCAGGTATCAGGCATCTCCAAACTGCCTCCCTCTCTGCCTTACCTTTTTTTTTTTTGCCTGCAGGTAGTGGGCAGCAGTCAGTGACAGGGGTAACCTCTGTGGATGACAGCAACAGTTATTGGAGGATACGGGGGAAGACCGCCACAGTGTGTGAAAGGGGAACCCCCATCCGATGTGGCCAGCCCATCCGGCTGACGCACATCAACACTGGTCGAAACCTCCACAGTCACCATTTCACTTCACCTCTTTCTGGAAACCAGGTGAGGGGACATGCAATGGTCAGTCCTGATACAGAGTCGCAGAACTTATGGAAGGAATCTTTCTGTGTGTGTGTGTGTGTGTGTGTGTGTGTGTGTGTACGTGTGTACGTACACACATACATACACACAACATGGGAATTTATTGGAGTGACTTACAGGCTGCAGTCAAACAATGGCTAGTTATGAATGTAAAGTCCAAGAATCTAGTAGCTGCTCAGTCCCATGAGGCTGGGTATCTCAGCTGGTCTGCTGGGATCCCAAAGAAGGAATGGATGTGCTGACAGGCGAGGGCAAGCAGATGAAGAACAAACCCTTCTTTCTTCCATTGTCCTTATATACCCTTCCAGCATAGGTGTGGCCAGATTAAACTGTACCTTCCAGCCTCAAGGTCTGGATTAAAGGCATGTGTCTTCCCACCTCAAGATCCGGGTCAAAGGCATGTCATCTTCTTGCCTCAAGATCTGGATCACATGCAGGGCGATGGTGGTGCACGTCTTTAATGCCAGCACTCGGGAGGCAGAGCCAGGCGGATCTCTGTGAGTTCAAGGCCAGCCTGGGCTACCAAGTGAGTTCCAGGAAAGGTGCAAAGCTACACAGAGAAACCCTGTCTCTAAAACAAAACAAAACAAAACAAAAAAAAAGAGTCTGGATCACAAGTGTGCCCTCCATTTCTGAATTATAGTTCATTCCAGTTATGGCCAAGTTGACAACCAAGAATAGCCATCACATCTGCTCTGCCTTGCTCAGTTGACTTGTTTGATCTCTTGGTTCTTAACTTACTCCATCCTTCCTTCCTTCCTTCTCTTCCTTCCTAAATATGGTTCATTTCATGAATTTGTGTGTCCTCCTTGAACAGGGACCATGCTGATCTCTGTGTCATTCCAACTTTAGTGTATGTGCTGCTAAAATGAACATATTAACCCTTTCTAGGTGTAGATGTTCTCTTTTCTGCAGACTTGGAAAAATGATTCTGTCTCAAAAATGTGAAGAAAATTGTTTCTGGTCAGAGTGGAAACTTTACATCTAGACCAAAGCATGAAATAGGGAGAAAAGTCAGAATAGGATGCATTAATATACCATCAAGTTTTGACAAATACTGCAATAAAACTAGTGTTTCCAAATTTACAATGAAGAGTTTTGCAGGGCTGGAGAGATGCCTCAGCAGTTAAGAGCACTGGCTGTTCTTTCAGAGGTCCTGAGTTCAAATCCCAGAACCTACATGGCAGCTCACAACCTTCTGTAATGGGATCTGATTTAAATAATAATAATAAATAACCACCGAGCCATCTCTCAAACTCCATCTCTATGCTACTTTTTAAAACCTCATGCTTTCAGGCACTCCTCAATGACTCCTTACTCCAAACACAGGTGTTTTTTATTGCTCTGTGTGTGTGTGCATGCGCAGGTGCAAACATTTGAGGTCAGAGGACAGCTTGTAGGAGTTGGCTTTCTCTTTCCACTTTGTGGATCCCAGAGACGAAACTTAAGGAGTGAGTACCTTCCCTACCAAGTCATCTCTCTAGCCCTTTTTTTGTCTTTCCTTTTTAACTCAACAGGATTTATTTTTTACTGTCTGGGAGGAGGCCACAGTATGGTGTCAGAGTGTTGATTGGCAGATTTCTCTGGGGCCTCACTTTGCATTTGCAGACCATCTGCCCTAGTTTTCCCCTGTAACTTATGAAGCAAATGTGCTACAGTTAACGTAGCAGTGCTGACACATTATCTCTAACTAAAGTCCATAGGGTATTCTTTTTTTTTTAATTTTATTTTTTATTTTATATGCATTGGTGTTTTACCTTCATGTATATCTGTGAGGGTGTTGGATCCCCTGGAACTGGGGTTACAGTTTTGAGCTGCCATGTGAGTGCTGGGAATTGAACCTGAGTCCTTTGGAAGAATAGCCAGTGCTCTTAACCACTGGGCCATCTCTCCAGCCCCCCACCTCCACCCCTGCGCCCCCATAGGGTGTTTCTTTAGTTTTTTATTTTAAGATTTATGTGTATGAGTGTTTTGCCTGAATGTATGTATATGCCTCCCATGCATACCTAGTGCCCTCAGAGGTCAGAAAAAGGCCTGAGTCCCCCAGGACTGCCATCACAGATGATTGTGAGCTGCTGTGAGGGTGCTGGGGTCCAACCTGGGTCCTCTCAAACTGCACCTAGTGCCTTATTTGCTGAGCTCTCTCTGCAGCCCGCATTTCTTTAGTTTTATCTAATGTCCTTTTTCTGTTACAGGATAGACATTTAGTTGTCATGACTCATTAGACTCCTCTAGCTGTTAGAGTTTTTAAGAATTTCCTTGTTTTCACTGACTTTGACCATCTTGAGGAATGCTAGTCAGGTGTATTGTTCATGCCCCACCTTTGGAATATAATGTTTTCTCATGATGAAAGCCGTGAGGAAGGTCACAGGGGTAAGTACCATTTTTATCACATCCTATCAAGGGTGCATTCTGTCAACATGATTTGTGACAGTAATTTTGACCTTGCCCACCTGGCTTTACGGGGTTTCTTTTGTAAAGTCATGCTTTCATTTGGTTCTCTGTGAAGTCACTGTCTCCAGTCCACACTTTGGTAGTTAGGGGATTATATTCCTTTATATTGTACTGGAATAACTACAGAAATTATTTGGGTGTATGTGGGGGGGTGTCTTTTCTCGATTCACTTATTCATTCATACCAGTATGAGTTCATGGATATATAATTTGTACTTTGAATTATAACCCAATATTAACTGTTTTCATTTTATTGTTCAAGTTGTTCCAACTTTGCCTTTGGCAATTCTTTCAGTTGACTTATACATCCATCTCTTTGATAGAATCCTATTTTAAAGCACTTGCTTATTTTCTGGCACTACAAGATGTTCAAGACTCATCTAGTATATTTCTTGGCCCACTTCTGAAATCCTCTATTTCCTTGATGAGCTTGCTTCCGTTTACTGGAGAATGGTCTTAGAACCAAGCTCCAGGCTCTTCCCAAGCTTGCACTGCTGGATTGTTACTTCTTCTATGTCCTCTCACCTGGCAGAACAAGAAGTGGATGTTTGTGCTGTCCCTTCCCCACAGAGTAATAGTTAGAATGAAGTTAAAATAAATAGTAAGAGTTTGTTTAGAAGACCAGATGCAGTAGTGTGCACCCAGAGTCTCAGTTGTTTAAATGGAAGATCACTTGAGCCCACATGGGCCCACAGCCATCTTGGACAACTGAACAAGTCCGTGTCTCTAACAACAGAAAATTAAGGACTACCAGCAAGATGGCTTAGTTGGTAAAAGCGCTTGATGACCTGAGTTTGGTCTTGTACCCACCTGCCTTGTGAATGGAGAACCAACCCCATAAGTTGTCATCTGACCTCCACATGCATGCCATGGCATGTCTGCACCCACACATAAGTAACATTTAAAAGGTAAACAGGAAAAAACTTAGGAATAAAACACATGGCAGATCTAATATTAATTTAAAAAGTAGGATTTGGATCATAATCTAAGAGGACAAGTTTTCTCTTGTGCCCTTCATGTCTTTTTATTCCTCCATAGTTTATTTCATTTTAAAAATTTGTTAACCAACTGGGTATGGTGGCGCACGCCTTTAATCCCAGCACTCAGGAGGCAGAGGCAGGTGGATATTGAGTTTGAGGCCAGCCTGGTCTACAGAGTGAGTTCCAGGACACTTAGGACTGTTACACAGAGGAACCCTGTCTTGAAAAACAAAACAAACAAACAAATAAATAAAACCCCAAATTTGTTCAACCACAACAGAAAGTTCCAGTTTGTTTCTTTTGGATAATTTTATTTTTCTTCTTATTGACTCCTTATTTAATTTATTTGGAGACAGGGTCTCTTGTAACCTTGGCTATCCTCAAACTGCCTATATAGTGGATGATCTTGAACCCCGGGTCCTTCTGTCTCCACCTCCTGAATGGTAGGCTACAGGTGTGCTCTGCCATTCTGAGCACCATTTCTCCACTCTTCAGACCTGTCAGATTGTTACTGTTGCCGCTTTCTGTCTTTCAGGAAGTGAGTGCCTTTGGCGAGGAAGGTGAAGGCGACTATCTGGATGACTGGACAGTGCTCTGTAATGGACCCTACTGGGTGAGGGATGGTGAAGTGAGATTCAAACATTCTTCCACCGAAGTTCTCCTGTCTGTCACAGGAGAACAGTATGGTCGACCTATAAGTGGACAAAAAGAGGTACATGGTATGGCCCAGCCAAGTCAGAACAACTACTGGAAGGCTATGGAAGGCATCTTCATGAAGCCCAGTGAGTTGTTGAAGGCAGAAGTTCATCATGCAGAACTGTGACTAAATCTTCTGAGCCACTGTCAACCACACAGTGTTTGTAGACATCTGTTGCTGCTTTACCCTGGGTTCCCTGGTCCAGGTCCTCTGAGCAGTGGCTAGGCCCCCACTGAGATGCAGAGGCACAGTAGGAAGCAGTGGCTGCATTTCGACCCGCAGCCCTTCACACTTGAATTGGTCGCTCTCCCAGATTTGATCAGTTCTCAAGAGAGGACTTGTTTGTGATACTTTTCGTTCGTACTGTTAAGAGAAAGCTGAGGAACTTCCCTCTTAGCTGGGAAGTTAAGGCATCATGGATTATTAACTTGTCTGATTTTCCCCTATTTTTCTTTTTCCAAAATGATAAATAAAAAAATAAAGGGAATATTTGTTTGGCCATTTATTAGGGGGGCTATTTCAGGATCTGCCTGCTAAATCCTCAAGTCCTAATCCTGTGGGATGGTCTTTCTGTATGCTGTGAATATGTGTTGCTATGATTGTTTGATAAATAAAGTTGCATTGGCCTATGGCAAGGCAGGATAAGGTTAGGCAGTACATTGAAATTGAAGACTCGAGGAAGAAGGGTAGAGTTGAGGAGATGCCAGCCTGCCACCCAAGGAGCAACAAAATGCCAGCAGACCAGTAATGCCACGGCTACGTGGCAACATAGATTAATAGAAATTAGTGGAGTTAAGTTATAAGAGGTAGCTAACAAGAAGCCTGACCCATAGGCCATACAGTTTGTAAGTAATAGAAGCCTCTGTGTGTTTACTTGGGACCAAGCAGTTGTGAGACTCGGGTGGGAGAGATTCGTCCTGACTGCAGGGCAGGGCAGGTGGGAGAGATTCGTCCTGATTGCAGGACCAGGCAGGACCAGAGAAACTTATGGCTACATCCTAAGATATTCAATATGCTGGGAATCTTCACTGTGGGCCATTTTACAAGATTTATTTGCATATAAGCCTTTCTCTCTGTACCTTCACTTCTTCCCCAGCACATCTTTATTAAGACCTTAAGAGTTCAGCATAGGGCTGGAGAGATGGCTCAGTGGTTAAGAGTACTGGCTGCTCTTCCAAAGGTCCTGAGTTCAATACCCAGCAACCACATGGTGGCTCACAACCATCTGTAATGAGATCTGGTGCCCTCTTCTGGCCTGCAGTCATATATGCAGGCAGAATACTATATACATAATAAATAAGTCTTTAAAAAAATAGTTTAGCATAATATATAGCTAATGACATTTTCCTCTGAATCTGTTATGTATTGTGGAATATTAGTTTAAGATGTGTTACATTCATTTATGCTGTGGAATATTTGTTTAATGATGCCTTAAAGATGTATTGCATTCTTTTATGTTGCATTTGTTTAATTATGTGAAGCTGTGTTACTGTGCCTGTCTAAAACACCTCATTGGTCTAAGAAAGAGCTGAATGGCCAATAGCAAGGCAGGAGTGGGATAGGCGGGGCTGCCAGGCAGAGACAATAAATAGGAGAAATCTAGGCTCCAAGAGAGAAGAGAGAAGAGCAAGGAGTGGTAAGAGGAGGACACCAGGGCTGGAGAGATGGCTCAGAGGTTAAGAGCACTGACTGCTCTTCCAAAGGTCCTGAGTTCAATTCCCAGCAACCACATGGTGGCTCACAACCATCTGTAATGAGATCTGGTGCCCTCTTCTGGCCTGCAGTCAAACATGCTGTATATATAATAAATAAATAAATAAATAAATCTTTAAAAAAAAAAAAAAAAAGAGGACACCAGAGGCCAGCCACCCAGCCACACAACCACACAGCCAGCCATGGAGTATGAAGGAAAGAAAGATATGTAGAATAAAGAAAGGTAAAAAGCTCAGAGGCAAAACGCAGTTAAGGAAAAACAGGATAATTTAAGTTAGAAAAGCTGGCTAGAAACAAGCCAAGCTAAGGCTGGGCATTCGTGAGTTAAGAATGAGTCTCTGTGTATTTATAATACTAGCCACCATGTAAAAGCCCTTCATTTCATCTCCACAGACTTATCTCAGGATAGATATACTTTTAACAATGTAGAACAGAAAAACTGAGTAACTGCCTGCATTCTTTAAAGTAGTAAATAATTTTGTGATAGGAACTGTGTCTGCCTTGATCTTTTTTGCTACTCTACAGTTGTGTTTTTTTATTTCTGTCCTCAAACAGGAATCTTTTTTTTTTTCAAGGTTTTTTGTTTGTTTGGTCTTTGTTTTTGTTTTGTTTTCAAGATAGGGCTTCTCTGTGTAATAGTCCTGGATATTCTGAAAGTGGCTTTGTAGACCAGACTGGCCTCAAACTCACAGAGATTCACCTGCCTCTGCCTCCAGAGTGCTGGGATCAAAGGTGTGCGCCACCACCATACAGCATGCTCCTACATTAACTTGTCAGTGGTAAACAGAAGTGACTCCCATCTGGTGGGAATTCTTTCTTCTCCTCTTCTCCTCCGCCCTTTTTTTTTTTTTTTTTTTTTTTAGATTTTATGTATATAAGTGCATGTCTGTATACCACATGCCCAAAGAGGGCATCGGATCCTCCAGAACTGCAGTTACAGATGGTTGGGAGCTGGATGCTGGAAATGAAACTGGAATCTTCTGGAAGATTGACCAGTGCTCTTAATTGCTGAGCCATTTCTCTACTCCTGCTTTTTTTTGGGGGGGTGGCAGACAGGGTCTCACTATGTTGCTCTCTTGACTGACCTGGAACTCCTATGTAGACCATGCTATCCTCAAAACCACAGAAATCCATCCATTTCTGCCTCCTGAGTGCTGGAATTAAAGATTCATGCCACCTTGTGCAACTTAATACAAACTTTTTTTTTTTTACTTTAGAAATTTATTGTTTCCTATTTGCCTTAAATTGTTAATGTGGAATATTTGCAGATAATCCTATGTTAGGCATGGGCCATGACGTTAAGAATAAGAAACTTCAGCCAGGCGGTGGTGGCGCACGCCTTTAATCCCAGCACCTGGGAGGCAGAGCCAGGCGGATCTCTTGTGAGTTCGAGGCCAGCCTGGACTACCAAGTGAGTTCCTGGAAAGGCACAAAGCTACACAGAGAAACCCTGTCTCGAAAAACCAAAAAAAAAAAAAAAAAAAAGAAAAAAAAAAAGAAACTTCAATCCTTTTACAGAAAACTTGTGTTCTCAGTAAATTAGAGCCAAGAATCAGGATGAGGTCCCTGTGCTGCCCTCTCTGGCTCTGTTCTACTTTTGTTGTGCTGATTCCTTGTTTATCTTCAGAAAGAAGAAGAGAACTAATAAAGTGAGTGTGGTAGTGAAGGGGAAAATAAAAATGATAAATTTGCTGGACGCACGCCTTTAATCCAGCACTTGGGAGGCAGAGGCAGGCGGATCTCTGTAAGTTTGAGGCCAGCCTGGGCTACAGAGTGAGTTCCAGGGCAGCCAGGCCTACACAGAGAAACCCTGTCTCAAAAAAAGGAAAACTAGAATAAAAGAAAAAAAAGATTAATGTTATTAAGGATTTACCAATTAGTTTGCTTCGAAACATTAGTTACAGAGAAATAAAATTCAGCTGAAGAAGCACTGCTTTGCTGGGCAGTTGAAAGGAAACAACTCCAGCTCCTTCCAGCTGCCCAGTTAGGCTTCACACCCATTGTCAAAAAGAGCTTGCCTCTGCTAGGCAGTTCAGAAAAGATGACCCTGGCTGACAGTCGCTTATTAAGCCCTGTGCCTCTTCTCAGGAAGGGCATAAGCCTGCCAGGACAAAAGCTGTCTGTCTGTCTGGAGATAAATGTAACAGTATCTTTAAATTGTAAATCTCATCATTTGTCCAAAACAACCAAACTTACAATTTCTGTCTCTGTAAAACATGTTTAATTGCTCAAAGTGGGAACTAAAAGAGATTTGTAGATGAAAGCATATGTAAAAATGCAATGTTATAGCTCAAACCCATATCTGCTGTAAAGAATCCTTGTTCAAGGCTGGTGCTCCAACTATTATTAGACAGAGTTTCCTTTATGAATCTCTTCAGTGCTTGGAGTGACTTTTTACTAGGAGAATTTAATCAGCTATTTCAAAGGTAACCCTAGTACTTAGGTGGCTGAGGCTGGAGGATTATGAATTCTAGGCCAGTTTGAGCTGCACTGGGAGACCTTGTCTCAAAAATGAAGGGGTCATGGTGGTACATGCTTGTAATCCCAGCACTCAGGAGGCAGTGGTAGGAGGATCACTACAAGTTTGAAGTCAGCCTGGTTTACATATCAAGTTCTTGGCCAACCAGGGCTACATATTGAGACCTTATCTCAAAAAGCTTTAAAAAAAAAAATGACAACTTTTCAAGCTGCAAGTTGGCTAGGAGTAGAAACTTGTAGGGGAAGAAAGGAAGCGATAGCTACTTTAGCTGAGTGAACAGATTGAATAAGATGTATAGAGGGAGCCGGGCGGTGGTGATGCACGCCTTTAATCCCAGCACTCGGGAGGCAGAGCCAGGCAGATCTCTGTGAGTTAGAGGCCAGCCTGGTCTACAGAGTGAGATCTAGGACAGACACCAAAACAACACAGAGAAACCCTGTCTCGAAAAAAAACAAAACAAACAAACAAACCACCCAGAGTTGTCTCCTAAACAGAGGAGACATACATCTGTTTTCCACCCAGAAATCTGGGAATGGATATAGTTAATAGCCTGGTGATCTATGCTCTCTGTAGATCCTGGACATTCCTGAATCCCCCAGACTATTGTGTTTATCCCAGACTCTTCCTCCCTAGACCTTTATCTTGAGTATTCTCAGTTAATAGAACCCATCCTTATGGAAGATGTCACATGTCTAGGTGACCTCTGTGCTGTCTGTAGGGCCAGGCCACTCCTGACTCCCACAGACTTCTATGTTAATCCATCATTCTTTCTACCCCCTTACATTGAACGTTGTTTTCAGTCAATAGAACACATCTTTATGGAAAAGGTATTACTTTGTAAAGAGTGTCAGTGTAAACATGTGTTGTTTTATTGCACACATGGGATTGAGTTAATTATCACAGAAAACTGTTTTTCAAAATTATGCTGTGCTGAAATATGCCTAAAATATTCTGCCCAGTGTCAGACTCCAGATTCTAGAAGTGTGTACCAACACCTGCTACTGAGTCTCGTTGCCTCGTCTTCTTGCCTCATTTGGATTGTTACTCTGCTGGCCTTGGTGTTTGTAGAGACCCCCAAAAGATGAATTTGAGTAGGGAGATGTGTTGTGATGCACCTCTCCGTGACCTGGGTGGAGTTCTTGGACCATCTCTGAGCATGAGAGACCACACTTGAATGCAAGGTCAGAGGACAGCTTGTGGGAGTTAGTGCCTTCTTTCCATCATGTGGGTTTTGAGGATGGAACTCAAGTAAGTCCTCAGGCCTGCCAGGAAGTTGAGCTGTCTCACAGGTCCTG